AGCAGGAATTTGCCTACCCTGAACTCCATGAAGTACCGGAGCCTTAGTTGCCACAGCAAGTGTTCAGAACCATTTTTTTTTAAATCACTTTCTTTTTTCACAGAACCTAAGTGGGAGGGAAAGGTTGGCTCCTCAGTGAGAAGCTGTCTATCCTCAAACTTCAGCTCTGTTAAGAAACAAACAAACAAATCTATGGGTATAAAAGCACAGCTAGATTCTCCCTCCTCTCCCGTAATATAGAATGGCTAAAGGAATTCTGTTCAAGTGTTCCACACCCCTTTTCTTAAATCTTCAGAGATCAATTAGGAAAAAAATATAGGAAATTTAATTCATTCTTGAAAATTGTGAACATCTGGAACTGAAGGTACAATGGAAACTAATCAGAAGATGCTGACAGCATTTATACTTAAAGATACGCTGTTTATTTTAAAACAACACTAGATATTTCATCGGCTCTTGTTACAAGAAACGCTCAAGACCTTACTGCTTAGAAAAGGACAGATCTTTCTTCTGATTTGTTTACTGTGAGCATTTGATCTTGCACAGGAATCATTTTCACTGTTTTCCTTCATCTTTCATGTGGAAGTAAAAGGGGACGAAACCCCCCCATCTTTAAAATAGAAGTGTGTTATTATAAAGTAAAGAATAATCTGGCTGAAATACAACACCTGAGATTTTAACACAACATACATTAAGCTACACGTCTTGAGAAGTTCACAGGTGGCACATTCATACACTGAACTGCAATGACTTTATGCCCATCTTAGAGTTAAGTTATTACTTAGTTTAATAGGAGTGCGTTGAAAGTAAGTTGCTATCCAGTTTTCATTACTACTAATCCCAAAACAGTAGGACATTATTCAAGCAACTGGTACAGTGCCTAGCAAAGATACACACAGGAATACACCTTGAAATATTTCTTGGGTGCCTGAGAGTGACGGATTAACCAGCAGAGAAGGCGAGCTGCTGGAGGGGCAGGGACCACAGGAGGGCCCGGCGGATTCGGCTGTGCCCTGCACCCCGCAGCTTGCCCTCCTGCACCCCCGGGCAACTCGAGTTTCAAACTTTCCGAGCTGATGCCCCGATGGCCCAGGGGCACCTGAGCAAGTCTCAGCGTTCCCGGCAGCAAAGCGACCGGCACCCTCCGCCGGGGACCCGCGGAAAGGCCCGCGGACTCTCTCCCGCCTCCGCACCCCAGCAGCGAGGCTGCCCGCTCCCCG